GGTGGCGGGGCATCGCGGGCACGGCGGGGCCCGGTAGCGCCCTGCGGAGCGGCTCCGGCACCGCCAGAGCCCGGGGAGCCTCGGAAGCATCCCGGCGGCCGGGCAACGCGGTGCGGTGCGGTGCGGGCAAGGAGCGCCGCGGGGGCCCGGCAGTCGCTGGGGCGCGGCGCGGGGCCGACTCACCGGTGTCCTGGCGGAACTGGTGCATGGACTGCAGGTCGATGATGTAGGGCGCCAGACGGCTGTCGGCCTGGCCCAGCACCACGCTGCCGCCCGCCCGCGGCCCGGCGCGGGCCACCGCCTCGATGTGGTGGCTGACGGCCGGGCTGTAGGGCCGCCAGCGCCCGTGCTCGTTCAGCCATTCCCACACCACCACGGCCGAGGCCAGCAGCATGGCTCCGCCGCCGCGAGCCCGGCTCGCCGCCCCACCGCAGCCCGCCCCGCCGGCTCTCGCATGCTCGGCGCGGCGCAGGGCTCTGCCCGCCCCCGCTCGCGGCCGGAGCCGGAGCCGCGCACGGCCGGGCCGCCCCTGCGCGCACCCGCGGCGCCGCTGCCGGCCGGCCCCGCCCGCACCGGCACCCCGGCGGCGGCACGGCCGGGCACGGCCAGGAGGCACCGCCCTGGCGGCACTGCCACCCGCCCCGCCCCGGTGTCACTGGGCGTACCGCGAGGGGGCGAGAAACATGTGTCTGCCCCTGGACCCCTACCCTGCACACCTGAGAGCATTCACAGTGCCCCCCGTACCCCCACTGTGCACTCCTGGGTGCCTGGTGTCCCTGTACCCACACTGCACCCCCGGGACCATTCCCAGTGCCCCCTGTATCCCCACAGCTGGGTCCCTGGTGTCCCTGTATTCCCACCTTGCACCCTGCCACTGCAGACTGCCCCTGGACCCACCCCCTGGGTCCCTGGACCCACACCCTGCACCCATGGGACTTCTCCCACTGTCCCTGAACCCCCTGTACCTCCACCCTGTGTCCCTGGGACCCCTCCCAGTATCCCCACACCTTCAATCAGGACTGCAGCCCAGGGAGCCCCTGGTGTGCTCCCACCCCTGTGGGCCCCCACCTGCCAGTGATGGGACTTGGGGTGCTGATGGGTTAACATGGACCCCACTTCATGTGCTGTGACAAAGAAATGTGGTCCAAGAGCTTCTCCCATTTCCCTGTCTAGGCCACAGCGCTTGTAGGGAGCAGCCCCCTGAGCTACCCTTTCCTGTGGCCCTTGAAACACAAAACTGTCTCATGTCTAGGGGTACCTGGGCTGCAGGCCCAGGTCCTGCACCCCAGCTCTCCCAGCTGCCTGCCACAATTCAGTTTCCCTGAGAAGTACTTTTCCTGCAGATTTCACGCAGCTTCAGCCCAGAGTGAGGCTGCAAATCCTTTGGGACTCTGCTGCTCCAACTGAGGGAGGCAATGAAGGCCAAAATAAAACCAGTGCTGCTCCCACTGTGACAGAAGTACCTCTGTGCTATGGCAACTCTGGGACTGGAGCAGCCAAAAAAGCATTCCTGAGCTTGTTCTTCCACTGAGCTCCACGAGCATCTTCCCAGGGCAGCCCTGAATGCCCAGATGTTGGGGACAGGCAAGTGTCAGTCTCACCTCCTTTGGTGCTCCTGCGCTCAGAATCACAAAATTTCCTTGGATATCAAACACCTATCAATTCCTGGTTTGGGAGAACTGTATGCGCAGGTTTCACAGCAAGTCCTCCAGTCCACAGTCCACCTTGGCTCGGAGGGCAGCTCATCCCCAGGCCACGGGACACACCACTGCCGAGCTCTCGGGGCTGGTGCAGCTCCTCTCCTGGCAAACCTGTTTCCCAGGCACTGCCCATCCTGCTGAGTGTCTGCCAGCAGCACTTGTGGTGAGAAACCATTAGACAATGATCCAAATAGAGGAAAAAGTGAAGGAAGAAGTGGGGAAGAAACAGGTGGGGACTAACTGGGGAGGTGCCAGCTGGCAAGTGCTGTGGTGGGACAGGACGAGGCGAACCGCACGGGCTCTCCTTTCCCCAGCTCATACAGAGCCAGGCTTGAGGCACCTTCTCCTGCAAGAAGGGAGGGCTCCCGACCCTTCCTGGGAAGGGGAGCCCCTCCTCTGCCTTTTCACCTGTTCCTTCAGGCAAGACAAGTGCAGCCAAAGCCACGGCGAGGAAACCCGGGGAAATCCTTTCCGCTGACTCAGGCTGGAGGAAAAGGTTTTCCTGCTATTAAAAAGGAAAGTGTTGGTGAACATCCACCCCCCGGCTGCAGCTCAGGATCAGGGAGTCAGGAGCCAGAGCTGCACAACTGAACCCCACCAGTGGGCAAGTGCTGGTGGGCAAGGGGCAAATCCATTCTCGCCCAGCACAGATGCCAGCACCCAAGTGAGTGTGCCTGAGGTGAGGGAGCAGACTCAGTCATCTTGAAACCTTTCCAACCCCACAAAGTGTGCCCAACCACACGTTAAGCCCAAATATTTATTGTTTTGAAATTAAACACATCCATGGGTTGCTTTTGGTGGGTCCTTCCCTGCTGCAATGTGGGAGTGCAGCCCCCTGCCCCCCTTCCCCGTTCCCCCCAGCACTGCAGAGCCTTCCTCTCTTCCTAAAGCACAATCTTGGATGGTTTTGGTGGGTTCTCAGTTTGCAGGAAGCCACTGCATGGGGTCCTCAGCAGCATCAGCCACATGGGTATGACTATCTTCCTCTCAAACACCTAATTTGTTTCCAAAATAAACAGCTTCAGTCACCTCCAGCCACCCACATCAACTTCTTTTCAGCCTGTGGCAAAGCAAGTCCAAAGGGCCTCTTGGCACCAAGGGAGCTCAGCTGTCGGGTGCCCCTGTTCTCGCCAAATCACTTCACTGGTGAATCCCTCGGGGCTACAGCTGAAAAATAGCACTAAATCCCAGCCAGTTCAGACTCCCCAGTGGGGGCTGGCTGGCAGGAAAAGGCTGAGAGCTGGAGCCCGTAGCTCAGCCAGAGCGTGGAGGTTTGGATTATGGATTGCTTTTTCCCATTGTTTCTGGTGGCCATTCCCGAGCATTGCGGCTGCTCCACAAACACAGACACACCCAGCACCGCTGGTCAGGTAACAGGGCAGGAGCAAGGAAGGTTGCAAAAGCGGTGTTTCCCAAGACAGGGAAGCCCCTGAAGCGACATCATTGTCCCTGTTGCTGCTTCTATCCCCCGAGAGCGACTGCAGCGCCGAGCTCAGCTCAGTGCCAGCAGCTGATACGGAAGGATCGAGTTGCAAGCCAGGGCTGGGTGATCCCGGCTCTCCTGGGACCTGAAGGTCACCTCGGACCAGGCAACTACTGCTGTGGGAGAAAAGGGGTCTGTTCCCACCTGCTTGTGTCACGAGGCTCCCTCCAGATGCCTGTGCCCACCTCTGGGAAGGTGAGGGGCAGACGGTGTGAGCACTGCTGAACAGGAGGGTGTAAGGGGGCACAAGCAAGATGGCTTCAAGTGTACAAAGCAGAGGAGATCGGGAGAGAAAAATACCTGTCAGAAAAGGGACTCGCTTTCACTAAACCTGAAAAAAATAGTGACCAGAAATTGTTATTCCTGAGTGCAGGGAAGCAGAAACATCCCAGTAATCCAGTCTGAGCTGTAAAGCTGCAGGCAGACAGTCAGTCAGTGGCGAGGAAGAAGGTGCACATTCTTCTTCGTGGGCATCACCCGTAAACAGAGGCAGCACCAAACCACCCTTGGAGCCGACCTCACTGTGCCAGGTGCCCCAATGTGGCCAGTGGGGTGGGCAGGATGAGCTCTGGGGGCTGTGCCTTGGTGCTGCACCAGGGCCCCCGTGCCGACACTGCCAGTGCTGGGGCCAGTGCTGTCCCCACCAGCCATGACAAAGCCGCTTTGTGCGGGGCCAGCCGGGCATGTCCCCAGCCTCTGTCCCCAACCTCCTCCCCGTTTCATGGCTCCACTCTCCCTCCATGTTGCCTTTCCTCTCACAGGCCAGGGTAGAAGTCAGGGCCACACTAGGACAAGGCACAACCCCAGCAACCCCCCCACGTCCTCGTCATCTTCCCCAGCTCCTTCATCTTCCCCACGGCCTCCCAGTGAGTCCCATCCCCCCTAGACCCCTCATCCCGCCGGGACTGACCCTTCCCTGGTGTGGGCACACGGCAGACCAGGCTTTCCGGTGAGGTTGAGCCCCACTGTCTCACCTCCCCCAAGAAGTACATCACCCTGGTAGATCTCCCAGCCCTTTTATTCACTCAACAGCCAGCAGCCCTCACATCCAGTTGGCATGAGAACCACAGCTCAGGCAGCTGTGAAACACTGTTGAAACACTCCACAGGGTGAGTGGTGAGGTTGGGGCTGTTTGATTCTCCATGCCATTTCCAGTCCTAAAATAACACCCGGAGGCACTCACCTCCTTGCAGAGGGGCTTCTGAATCACAGCCTTCAGTGAAAAGATCCTCTCCATTACCATGTCCAAGAGGTTAAGAAATTTCCTCCTGACTATATCCCCACTTCCCCCCCATGCCCAAAAAGCCCCCAAGCAGTTAGAGCAGAAATTCAGTGAGCAGCCAATGCAAGCTGGGCAGAAGATGTGCATGAGGTGAAGCCTTGCTCCTTGCAGCTGCGGGGCAGGTCCCAAGACTCCTTTGGCCAGGTGACACTTTGCTGTCCCTTGGCTCCTGCCTTGCATCCACAAGAGCCCCCAGGGTGGCCACAGCAAACCAGGCAGCAACCAAATTCCAAAGAAAAGGATCTCCGCTGAGGGTCATGGCATCCAGGCCCTGGGGTGAGCAGCAAAGCTGGTTCCCAGGGGATAATTTCAACTGCCAGCCCAAGGACCACTGAGGATAGCCCTGCCTGGGGCTCCCTGCTCCCTCCGAGGTACACTGTGGCCCGTGCCTCAGTTTCCCCACAGGGAGTGGCACCAAAAGCACGGGGGACCCAGGGATTAATGGCACGGTCCCTCCCATCTGCCTTCCCTCCTTCACTGTCAGCTGCCCCCCACTGTGCCCCGGCGGCACCTGAGACCCCCTGCCCCACGCTCGCCTTCACGGCCTCTCGGCCGGGCTGGGGGATGAGCCGGCGGCCGGGCCAGGCTTGGCGAGCTGCCGCAGGTCCCGCACAGACCTCACAGCCCACTGGGCCAGCTCCCGCAGCACCCCCAGGCCCCGCAGCTTCTGCTCGAAGAGGCCTTGGGGCTGGGGGGGCGGCCCATCTTCCTCCTCGCTCGGGGGTCCGCGACTCTCCAGCCGCAGCAGCTCCTCGAGGTGGTAGGCGAAGGCTGAGACCTGGAGCAGCACGGCCGCCAGTGCCCGGCCCAGGGCGGCGTCGGCCTCACCCAGCTGCTCCCGCTGCTCCTCCAGCATCTGCGCCAGCAGGGCGCGGAAGGCCCTGTAGGCCGCCAGGTTCTCCAGCAGCCGCTGGGTCCCCGTCTGCTCGTCCCAGTGCTCCACCGCCGCCGGCGGCACCCCCTCCACCGCCGCCACGCTGGCCGAGGCGTCCAGGCCCTGCCGCTCCACCTGCAGGGCGAGACCCACTAGGGATCAGCGGTGGTCGGAGCAATCTGGGGGGTATCCCCCGCCCCGAGCCATGCCAGCGCTGCTCCAGGGGGCCCAGTCCGGGAGGGGTTTGTGGCTGTGCAAGGCCAGGAGCCCAAGGTTCGCCCAGGCATCAGCACGTGCAGAAACTCGCAGAGCTTCATCCCCCATCCCTGCCACAGGACAGATTCCTCACACCCCACAGCTGCCAGGAGCCTCCCAGACCCCACCAGCACTCCCAGCCCCGCAGCAGCCAGAAGGAGCAGGGCAAACTCACGTAGGCATCCAGGAGGTCCACGACATCTGAGCGCATCTTCCCGGCCAGGCGGATGCCACGGGCGCAAAGGTCACGGCGCCGGAGAGCAGGCGAGGGACTGTCTGCTCCCGCCATGGTCCGGGCAGCTGTCACGGCCACCAGGCTCAGGGCGCAGTGCCCGCCCGGCCCGGGCAGGACAATCACTTGCTGAGCTGGTGCATTCCAGCCGGGAGCTCCGCTCACAGGTCCGCTGGCCTGGCTCTCCCCCTCTTCCGTGCCTGGGGCCTGGCACCACGTTGCAAATTCCCGCCTCTGGGATCAACAGCGACAGATTATTCCCCTGATTCCCCCACGCATTGCTACTCCAAGTGCTTTGCCCAGAACCGTCTCGCTCGGCAGCAACAGGCTGCCAGCGCCAGCTGACCCACTCCTCCCTCCCAGCCACACAGTGGGATTTGCAGCACGTTAATCCCTCTGGCTCATGCGGAGCGCGGGAAACCACTGCCGGGAAGAGGCGAGCAAAGCCCGGACATTGCTCAACACCCCAGCCCGGGCAGGCGGCAGGGGCTGACCAGGGCCAGGAGTGGAGGCTCGAGGGGACCCTCCAGGCTGCACATGCAGCACCAGCCCAAAGCTGAGCTGCAACCCAAAACCTTGCAGAAGGGTCAGTCCCAGTCACCTCCAGCCCTCTTACTGCCCCACAGCCATGGGACTGGGACCCCAGGTTTAACCTCCCTTTCCCAGAGGGGTTCTGCCCCAAAGAGGGGCTATGGGACAGGACGTGGTCTCTCCTCAAGACCCCAAAATGCAGGACTCAGTCACTGTTTCTCAGCCCTAAATGTGGCCACATAAGGCCAGCAGGACTCAGTCTCCCATTTCTCACCTTCAGCACTGGTCACTCCACAGGATTCAGTCTCTGCCTTCAAGCCCCCAAAGTGCATGACTTGGTTTCTCTCTGTGAGCCCAAGCACTGGCTGAGTAACCCTGGTTTCAGGGCCTCAAAACACAGGACTTAGTCACTGGTTTTTAAGCCCCCAAAATGCAGCACTTGGTCTCTCTTTGTAAGCCCAAAGATACAGGACATGCTCTCTGCCTCAGGCCCTGAAAGCAGTATTTAGTGCCTGTTTCTAAGCCCAGAATTGGGCATGTAAGAGCGTGGTTTCAGAACTGCAAAATGAAGCATTTAGTCTCTGTTCTTAAGCTCTGAGCCTCATTTTGAGGTCCACAACACAGCCCTGAGTCTCTCTTTGGGAGCCCAAAAGCTGATCAAATGAGTCTGGTTCTGAGCCCCCCAAACTGGCCCAGGGTCATGACTCCAACCCTGCTGGCAGCTGGCACCAGCAGCCACTCACGCACCCCCCCCACGTGGGATGGGGAAGAGCCATCCCAAGGACAGCACCAGCCACCCCACAGATGAGCTGCATGCACCAGGACAAAAACAGCCCACGGGGTTGGGTTGGTTTTTCCTCAGTATGTTTATTTTGGTTATGTATCACCCAGATAAGGAGGAAAAAAAAAGCCAAGACTTGAAAGCAACTTCCCACAAGTACCACAGTGTGCCTGGTCAAGGGGCCCCGTACCCCCAGCAGCCTCTTTGTCACCTCATGGCTACTGCAGAAAGTGCTGCTGAGCTCTGGGAGCCCCTGGCCCCGGCAGCCCTTGACCCCTAAAGCACTGCCCATGGTGGGCACAGCCCCGAGAGTGGTCAAAGGGCCCTGAGTCCCCTCCAACCCCTCCCCAGGAGGAGAAAAAAAAATAAATACAGGGGAAAAAAAATACAAAAAAGTTTATTGCAAACTACTACAATAATTTATTGAAGCAAACTGCATGCGAGTGAAGGAGAGACATCGAGGGGAGGAGGAGCTGCAGGAGGGCTGTGTCAGTTTTAGGGCTTCAGAGGGGCCTGGGAAGGGAGCTACTACACATCTCTCCTGCATCAGGGGCGAGCAGGCTGTGGTTAGAGGACAGACAGGCACCTGGCCACGGCCAGAAAAAGAAAAGGGAGAGCTACAAGAGGTGTCATGGAAGGACGAGGCGGGGAGCGGCAGGATCAGAGGTGCCCAGGCCGGGAAGCAAGGGGAGTGTCTGATTTTGCATCCCAGAAATGTGGCTGGTGGCAAAGTCTGCTCCGCTCGGGGCGGCTGCAGGACCAGGCCACTCCCTCAGCTCCCAGCCAGGTGTCAAGAACTGAGTCAGCGGCAAGCAAGCCTTTGACCCAAAGGCATTTTAGTGCCATCCCTTGACCAGGAATCCCCGGGCTCTCCACTTAGTGTTCTGTGCAAGGCTCTGCCCACCCCGCACCTCCCACGGGCACAGGGGCTGGCAGAGAAAGCAGCTCCAGATGGAAATCACGGTAATGTGATCCAAGCAAGAAACTGGATCATCCCAACTGAAGAAACTGGTTTAGTTTAAACTCCATTCCACTGCAGACCTGCCTGCACTGTCCCAAAGGACCCTCCACTAGGTGTGCTGGGCCCTCACCTCATGGCAGGCCTGAGAGCCAGGCTGTTGCCACGGTGAGAACATGGGATGCCCTCGCCCAGAGCACCAGACACCCAACTGTTCCGCCACAATCCGCCCCAACACCAGAAGTGTTTCGACTTGCTCTGACAAAGGTATCTGTGTAAGGAGGGAAGGGAGGGGGCAAACCGGGACAAACGGCCCAATAAAAGCCATCATGTTTGGGCCACGGTCGGATTTCCAGGCAGCACAGGGGACAGAGTGGGTGTTCAGAGTCAGTTTCCTGTTAAGTTTCCAATTAAATTCCACATTTTATTGCGGTTTTCTAGACCCCAGGTACCCGGTTTTGCCAAGCTGCTGTGTGCTACAGACTAACTCAGCTGATCTTGTGCTCGGACAAAACACTTTAGCTCTGCTCCCAACCACAGAAACCCAACCAAAAATAAACAAGCAAACAAACAAAAAGCCAGGTTATTCCTCACCTCTTCCAAAACCACTACGAATTCAAGGCCACTGAATCTCCACACAAAGTCTCAGAGAAGAGCAAAAAAAAAATCCAAGTCTCCATAGCAGACACCTCTTACCCTATGTAAACTTTTCCAAGGGCTCAGAGCTGCCCTAACTACATCAGCAGGCAACACCTGGCCTGCCACACTTCAGGGAGAGCAGGGGCATCTGTGCAGAAGAGAGAACCTTTGAGAACACTGCTACACAACACCCTCCCCCATAACGGGGGCAGGGAGAGAAGCTGACAGCCCCTTAGTCCCACGTCAATCTATTGCCTTGGATAAACAAGCCTGAGAAAACCACATCCAGTCCCTGTGCCTTGGCCTAGACCTGGAAAGGAGAGGCAGAGTCAGATGAGGAGCACCACATCCCCCCAGCAGCAAGCAGCTCACGACTGCCCCAAGTCACGAGAACAAGTTCCTGGCCAACAACATCCTTCCCCGAAAGGCTGCGGAGCATTTAACGCAAGGAGCTCACCCGGAGCTGGGAGGGAGGGAGACAACAGCCAGCTGTTCCATCACTCACCTCATCCTCCTGCTAACACGCTGCTGCAGAAACCCCCATGGCACACAGGGCTCTTCTCCAGGGGCTCTCCCTCCTCTACTCTGGAAAAGCTGCGAGACACATCTGACTCCAGAGCGCTGCCTTCCCCTCGGCCCTCAAAGCCGCTGTTACGATGGCACACCGTGCTCCCTGCACTGGAGCCTACTGGGAAACAGCCTGAACCCCTTCCACGCCCGCCCCCTAAGAACAGAACTAAAAAATACCGACCCTTTTTTAATCAATAAATAAGGAATCTTGTTACCACAACACAAAAACGAAGCATGTTCAAAGTGCAAATTACTGTCGTCAAACTGGGATGCTCCTCCTTGCCTCTCCCACGCAGGGCTCCTGTAGCCCCCGGGCCTCTCTGAGCAAACATGATCTACGAGCCAGGGCGTTCCCTCCACTTCCTGCCAGGGCTGGAGCAGGGGAGCGCGGTGGGAGCGGGACGTGCTCTGCTTCACAGCTCACCCTGCCGAGAGGCTAAAGTGCCAAACTCCCAGCCCCGGGAGGAAGGAGGACACTGCAAGGACCAGAGTGCAGTGATGCATAGAAGTCGGGACCAGGGGCAGAGGGAGTCCTAAGAAACTTCTCCAGAGCACGGTCAAAGCTTTTTTTTTTTTAGTTTGCCAGTGGGGCCATGTCAAGGAGCCAGAAAGGCATCTGCTTTGGGGTAGAGCGAAGGGTTTCGGCAGTGCCCCCTCCCTTGGAGAAATCCGTCGCTCAATCCAACTTGCTCTGGTAATGGCAGCACGTGCCCCTTTCCACAAAGGGGCCGTGGGAGAGAGAGAAGTGGTTGGGAGAAAGAGGATGTGCTGTGATCCGCGCTGGAGGGGAGCAGACCCTTCAGTTATTTACTAGTATTGTAAGTTTTGTTTAAATTTCCTCTCTTTCAGTAAGTGCCTCCTCTTTTTTTTCTTTTTCTTTTTTTTTCCTTTTAAATACAGAGTCCCAACTGTCCCAGCACCCAGGTGCTCTCCTGCCACTAGGGTCCAGTGGAGTCTGAATCTTCGATGAGCACCTCTGTGCTGGCTCCCAGGATCTCCGTGTTCATGACCAGCCCCTCCGGGTTCGCGTTGCTGCCGCTGCCCACGAAAAGTTTGCTGTCAGCCACCAGGCTCACACGCTCTGCCCCGCCACAGTAGGGCTTTGGCATCCCCTCGGGGCTCAGCAGCAGGCAATCTGCTGGGGGGGCACTGCCCAGGGGGTCCGGGAGCAGCGGGAGGCCCTGGCCATCGGTGGGCGGTGCGATGGCCTCGGGATTAGTGCCCAGGATGTCGGTGCTGGTGATCAGGGCACCTGCGTTGGCAGCCAGTGCTTCAGCTATGAGCACTTCAGGGTGGCTCTTGGCTTTGTGGGCCACGACGCTGTCCTTCTTCTCGAACTTCTTGCCGCAAATATTGCAGGAGAACTGGTAGAAGGAGTCCGCGTCGTGCTTCTTCATGTGCCAGTTGAGGGACGCCTTCTGCCGGCAGGTGAACCCACAGATCTCACACCTGGGGGCGGAGAAAGGGCAGGTCACAACAAAGGGATATCCCCACACACTCGTGGGGACACCAGCAGCAAGGGGGCAGCTCAGGGAAACAAGCAGGGGCTCACTGATGTCACTGCTCACTAAGGGCTTTATTTGCTGAGGGCTTACGATCCCAGATCTGCCCTGGGGAGCAGGTGAGACAAGGGGCAGCTCAACGACGTGTGCGTTTAGAGAGCTGGGACACCAGCAACAGGCTCCAGCCCCAACTTCAGAGCTGCCCCTGCTGTGGGTGCAGCCCCAGAACAGGTGTGCTGGGGGTTCCTCAGGGCAGGAGGATGAGGCACAGGCACAGGGTACTCACTGCAAGGGCTTCTCGCCTGTGTGGATCATCCTGTGCACCGCCAAGTTGTGGGAGCTCTTAAACGCCCGGGCGCAGTACTCACAGATGTAATCCCTCTGATCTGAAAGGAAACAGCAGTTGCAGCACTGCTCTCCCACAGACCTGCTCCCTCTCCCAGCTCCCACATAGTGCAGGTAAAGTTGCCCAAGAAGGAGAAGAACATGGAGTTCTGGGAGGCCAGCAGGCTCAGCAAAGCAGGAGTCCCACAACACAGCACAGCAGCTGATCTGGAGAGGCCAGGCATGATTAAGACTCTTCTAAGAGCTAATCATCCACTCTGACCAACACTGAAGGACTGGCAAATTCGGATAAAGCAGACTTTATCTGTAGAGTTTTTATATGTAGAGGTTTACTCCTCTACAGAAGCCCTGAGTGATACTTGCCAGGGGGAGAATTAGAAACCTCTATAGTCTTATTTCTTTCATTTCCTTACAAGATGATAATCCAGAAGAAAATAATACCCTGCTGCTCCTGCAAATCTATGCCACTTGCCTTGGCTTCACTCTCCCCAGAAAGTCTAGAGGCCTTTTCTTTTTCCCCTCTCTGTTCACTGACCTGAGGAGGCATTTGTACCTATCTCCCACCGCCCTGTACCTGTGTGGTGTTTGGCATGTCGCAGGAGCTGCTTCTGGAGCCGGAAGAGCCGACCACAGGAGGGATGAGGACACACATATTTCTTCTTCAGCAAGTGCTGGTACTTTATGTGATGCTGAAAAGGAAGAGTGAAACTTTGCAGAGTCTCTGAGAGGAGAGCTGAGACACAGCGATCCCAGACGGCCCCTCAGCAAAAGAAGACACAGTGTCAGGGAGGAGTGTCAGGGCAGTGGAGGCTTAGCTGCCTGCTCCAAACAGCCCTTCCCTGCCCTCACACGTGCCATTCAGGACAGGAAAACCTCCACCAACCTGCAGGTAGCGCGGGTGAGCCAGGACCGTGCCGCATCCCTCCATCTCACAGCGGACGTACTGTATCGGAGGCTTCTTCCTGGGAAGGCAGCAAGGAAAGGGGCACAGTGGTTGGCTGCTTCTGTGATTAGATGATTCTACAGATAAGGACTCTCTAAGTATCCGATACAGAATCATATGAACTGCAGAATTCTGTTTCTGTGAGAGGCAGAGATTGGCTGATGCCTCCGATGCCACGGCAGCAGCACAACAAAGCACAGCTCAGTGAAATGAGCGTGAAGAATTCCTGCTCCCATACTGGCTGGGCTGGGACAGAGCCTCTGTCCAAGTGCCACCTCCACTCCTGCCACTTACTTGAGGGCTCTCCCCAGAGCTGGGAAAACCCCAGGAGATCCAGATTTCCCAGAACCTTATTGCTGGGCAATCCCCACCCGTGTGCAGGGTACAAGGGAAGTAAGTCTGCAGAACAGAACTGGGTGGAGGGGATCACTTACCTTCTCTTGGGCAGCCTTGGGCTCTTGTCATCTTTTCTCCTCCTTCCCCTCCTGTAACAGGGATACAGAAACAGAACTGAGAAAAGGTTCCTTACATTAGCAGTGGGCAGAGACTTTGAAGTTTATGCTGTATTGCCTCATTAACTGCAAGATCTAGAAAAAAAATGCAGTGCAAGTTGGAAACAGATTCAGGGGAAGGAGAATTTTAGAGAAATAAATGCTTCATGTAGTTTGCTCTTTCAACCCTTCCCATTTCCCAATGCATTTCCTAATGTATTTCTTATAAACATGTAATGGTGCTAACACAGTCCAGAGCCCTGCTCTGTTGGGGAACATTCCATACCATGGGAAAACATCGACCTGCATGATCAGGAAGAAGGGGATCAATGATCCAGCACCTATTTTACAGGCCTCTGACTTAGCTACAGCAGCTTATACACCTGTCAAGACAAAAATCTAGACTCTGTCTGAGCAGACCTGTGCTCACATGTAAACTGCATCCTCCTAAGCCACAGCTTGATCCCATTGCTGCAGAGGCACTTGGAGCAGATTGATGGAAGCATTTTCTAGACTCTACTGAGACATCTTTATTGATGGCAAGCTCATGCCAGGAACCTGCTGAACAGGCACTCAGCATTCAAGCCAAGCCCTCAGAAGAGGCACAGGTTTTATTACACACAAAAGCAGTGTCTGATCCAAACAACAAAACCTCAAGGCACAAAAAGCAATCTCCAACAGACAGAAATGTTCTCAAAATACCAGCCTACTCACTCCTTTCTGCTGTGCAGCAGCAGCAGCTTAGGAACAGCCAGAGAAGCAGCACCAGCGGTGTGTGGCCCCACGAGGCAGGTCAGCAGAGGGAGCTCCGGCTGTTCCAGCCTCTCAGAGAGGAGCTGAGGTACAAAAGCAGCTCCTTTCTCTTTTTTTCTCCCTCACACCATCCCAAAGAATGGCTTGAACACAGACACATGAAGCAATCTCCCTCTGTTGACAGGAGGAAAGCTGCAGCGCTGAGCCCCAGGGGCAGCACACCCCAAGTATAGAGCCCACGGGGAGCAAGTTTTCTCCAAAGAGAGGCGAAATGTAAGTGGTTTCCCTGAGCTCTAGGATAGTCCCACATGTACAAAGAGGACACTTGCCACACACACATCCAAGGTATTCCTGTGTCTGCCCCACAACACACAGCAGGAACACTGCCCTCTCACACTGGATTTCTAACACTGATTCACTTCAGGCATCACAACAAAACCCCTTGTAAGGGTGCTCTGAAGAGTCTCCCACTGTGTGGTCACACCCATAGAGGGTGAATAACCACAAGATGAAAAAAAAACCCTCACCTTAAACTAAACCTAAGTGCCAACTCTGATTTTTGGAACACAGGCGAGACGTGAGGAAGCAGAACAAACAGTGCTGCCCCATCAGCTCTCAGGCCCAGAGGAGGAGGAGGAATGGGGGAACCAGCAACAAAACACTGTTGTAACGCAGCAAGAATGCAAAATAAACAATACACACTGCCATGTGTAATTGCAGAGTTCACTCACTTCCTTGGCGGTTCTTCATCTTCCTGAAACTCGTTCTCTTCTTTCACTTCCACTTTAATCTCTTTCTGCCTTTCTTTTTCCTCCTTCCCCTTGTTAGCTTTTCTCCTTTGCTTTGGTGCTTCCCTACAAAGATACAGATACAACATATTACTCCAATGCTCCTCCCACTGCCTGCTTTCCACAAAGACTTTAGCAAAAACTGGATGGAAGTTCAGGCTTATTTCTCAAGTCCCACTTCTATGCAGAACTATCAACAAGGATTAAGGAAGCACCTAGCAGACAGCAAGGCTCTAAAGGTTTTAGTCCCTGAGAGAAGAACAGTCCTGCTTATTCTATTATTTAGAACCATTGCCCCTGAGCAAGCTGCTCGGGTGCTTAGGGCACAGTGTGTTCATCCAGCTAAGATGTCCATTTTTTTCGGTCTAAACCCCCAGTAAGTACAAAATCCAATATACTTCTCTAGGTGGGGTTTGTAGGTTTCATCTCTGGGATCATCTTTGAAGGGAACTTCTTCCTCACTGATGAGCATCTCCTCGTCATCATCGCTGCTGGGAGAACGGGAGAAGAGAGGACTTTGGTAGCACCAGCTTAACCACTACTGCAGAACACCCATGCATCACACTCTAGGATGGGAAAGGCACTACTCCACAGCACTTCCTCATGCAGCATGACTGGGGAAAGCCTGCACCGACCAAGGCGCACAACAGCAACCAGGCCAGGCCAGGCAGAGCAGTGTCCTCTTCTGAACCCACCCACCTACAGCATCTGCTCCTACAGGAATAAAGGTGCCATGCCCACATCCAATCTTCCTATCGATTCCTTCACGGTATCTCCTGACCCCTGCAGCCCACACAGCAAATGCAGAGGCCCAGGGTGGAACGAGACAGAGCTGCTGCCTGTCCCAGAGAACATTTCACACGAGCATTTCTTCTCAAACCACTCAGTCCCTGGTTTCAAGACACCAAATCCAAGGAAACACCACAGAGTCAAGAGTGTCCTACCTGACTCCAGCTGGAGACTGATGCTCTTCTGTGACCTCTGAAAGGAAAAGTCACCATTAGGTTTCAGCGTGTGTTCGCTGCAGTGAGCTCATCTGTCTCACGACACAGCCGTCGCCACTCAGAGCCAGAAGTGCTGCTGGCAGAAGGCACCCATGACCAAGCAGCACTGTGCCGGCACCAGCCACAGCCAGCTCCCTCCAGAGGCTCCCCACACCTGCCTGGCCCCGAGTACGTTGCGCCACGTACCGTACTCCAGCTGGTCCGTGTTTGGTTCAGACTTGCAGACGAGCTGCAGGGAGCCGGTCTTGGATCTGGAGGCGCGGGAATTCTCCATGTCCCGCTGCCGAGCCACGGTGGCTGACCTGCTGCTGCGCCAGCTCCGGCTGGACCGGGCCGTGCCCACGGGAGAGCCATGGCTCAGGACGCTGGAAACCTCCTCCTCCTCCTCCTTCTCTTCTTTGGGATCTGAAACAGCCATTGCAGCCTCTTTCATAACAATAGAAAAAGCCTAAATCCCACTCCTCACTTCTGTGCCAACCCGCTCGTGCCTCTCGCACACCTGGAGGGCAGGTCCTCCAGGCCCTCCTTCAAACTCCCCAAGTAAAACCAACTAAAACTCTGCAAGTAAAGGCAGCAGGAGTGTTTAAAACTGTTTACTAATCTGAAATGATCTTGTATTTCTCTCAGATAAAGGCCTACAAGATGATGATTTGTTGGCTCTGACCACTACAAAAGACGCTCGTAAACATGAGCGAGTGCTTCATGAAAGGCCAGCTTTGTGTGAAAGGTCATGCTTGAAGAATCCCTCAAACACAGAACTGTACACCTGGTAATGACCCTGAGGAATCTGGGCTGGATGTTTCTGGTCCTGTGCAGAGCAAAAAGCATCCCAAACGCTGCTACTCTGAGACCTTTGCACTCATTATTAGCTTGTACAGGTGGTTTCCTTTTTAGCTGATGGCTGGTCTCCACATATGTTTTGCCAAGATAACAGAACTGCCTGAAAGGTCTATGTGAGCAAGTTAATCCCTTAAAAAGTAAAATTCCCAAGTACACCTCACTTGATCTCAGTGTTTGCTGCTTGCTGTGCCATTGGGCCCTAAAGAATTGAAATGCCTTTTGACATGTCACAAATCATCACAGACTGGTTTGGGCTAGAAGGGACCTTAAAGCTCATCTCATTCCACCCCCTGCCATGGGCAGGGACATGTCCCACTAGCCCAGGTGGCTCCAAGTCCTGTCCAATGTAGCCTTGGGATGGGGCAGCCACAGCTTCTCTGGGCAACATGTGCCAGGGCCTCACCAGTAAAACTGCTCTCCACCTCTGTTCTCAGTCCTAAAGGTGAACATCTCAGGTTTTACCCAAAGGCATTTGAAACTAGTTTCTCCTTCCTACTTCTTCTGCTTCAGCATCTCTGTCTAACAGATCCGGGGCATTTCTACATGCTGAGAATACCCAAGTGCCTTCAAACCCCCAGCATCAGGAGACACAGTAAATATTTTCTCTATAGCAGAACCCAGGAGAGCGATACAGAGCTAATAGCTAAAAACCCTTTTAATTCTAGACTCTCCCAACGTGGCCACTGGTCCCCATCCAAGGGTCAGGGCTGCACCAGGAAACTTGTGTCTGTCAAGAGCTCAGCTGCAGGAGCAGCTGCAATCAGCGCTCACCAAGGCTTTGCCTGAAACCTGAAATTGCAAAAGGGAAGTTCTACATTTGTAATAAAAGTTTCTTTTTCTCTTTCCCACACCTAAACTTCCTTTTCTCCTTCACAAAACCAGGTTTCTGATGAATCCAGCCTGCCCCTCAAAAAACAAAGAAGACAACAAAATAAACCATCAACCAAACAAACTAAAGGGGGAAAAAACAACCCCTTGCGCAACATAAGTGCTCTACACACAACTCTGTTTGTACCACAGAGAAGGATGTGAGCTCTGCTGGACTCATCCCCCAGCCCACACTGTGCAAAACCCTTGGATTTGAGAAGGAACTTAAAGAGGTGACACTCCATGCACACAGCACTGATCTCTTCTGATCACAGCTCCCAGTAAACAAAAGCTTCATGGGGCCCTTTCCTCTCAACACTGCCTCTGGAACAGCAACACAACCCACTGTCCCAACTGCTTGGAAGATTTCCTTCCAGCTCCTAAAGGTGGTCATGGAACAGCAGAGGGAAAATCTCAGAAAAGCATGGATGGAGTCAGAAGCTAGTTTAGGTGTAAATTGGATTGGAGAAGCATGTTCTGTTCAACTGCCAACAAAGAGTCACAGAAAATTTTCAGTCCAGTGATGGAAGGACATTAAGGGTATCCATCAACTCAGTATTCCAATAATTACAATCATTCAGGCCTAACTAAAATCAAAATTATTTTCACGAGAACACAGAGCGCTGTGGGAAGTCGAATGTGAACTGTACTACACAGTGAATCCATTTGTAAACTGAGATTAAATGTTCTACTTATGCAACTAATATCTCTACAGACACACGTTGGGAAATCCTGCCACTCCATGACTAAGCAGATGACAGGGAATACTGTCAGTGTCCAAGAAGCCTGGCTCTGTACAGAGGGAAAAGTCGGGAACACAATTCCAACATCACAGTATCCTGGATATACATACCATCGGCAGCACCCACCAGCCCAAGCTCTCCTCACCAATGCCAGCTGCTGATTTGCCTTCAAAACATTATCCCAAACACCAGGCAACAACATTTGCTGAACAAACCCTGGCGCAGTACGCTTTCCATTCGTCCTGTGGCTACACCGGACCTGCCACCAGGTGCACCCCCTTTGTCCTCCCTGCCAAGGCTCAGTTCTGGCCAAGCTCGGGCCAACTGAATATTCCAAACTGGAGTCAGTGTTTGGTAGTGAAGGTTAACAGTGTAACACAAATAATCACCACAAGAAACCAATCCCATGTCAGAACTCACACCAGGGAACACCAGCACGAGATTCCAAACCTTCACCAGAACTGCTCAGCTCCTCATCCCAACTCTATCCAGGGTGAAAGGACAAATGGGACTTTGCCTTCCCGATTTACAGGGGACTCCTGGCTACTCAAAATCCCTGCTGTGCAAGGAGAGCTGCTGTTTGCTCACATCCAGTCAGGTTGATGCTAAAGGCTAAGGTGGGAACAGGGGGGCATCTCCTGTTCTGCTCTTGCACCATCTGCAAAAATTTTTTGCACATCTTCCCCGATCCACACAAGACACTCCAAGGGCTCCATCCAGAGAGCAGCCAGGACACAGAAGAGCAGCTTCCTCACTTCTAAAGACTAAAAAAAAAAAAGAAACAAACAAGCAACAACCCAAGCCCCACCAAGGCAGATTTCCTCTGGCCCAGGAGCTGTCAGCACTTCTCGGCGCCAATTTCCACGCAAACACTCCATCCTTTTGGCCACAAAATCTAACTGGGGAAAAAAAAGAGCCCCAGAAATTTAACAAACACTTTTTCCACTCTCACGTTTGAGCACAGCTGAAAACCTCAGAGCCCAAGTTAAAGGCAAGAAGGTCCTGAGTGCAGAGAGCCCCCAGACTTGGGAATTTTAGACTGACAGCTGCCATTTCCTAATGCATCCTAGGAAACTGGGGTCCAAATGGGAGCGTTCTGCCTGTTTTCTACCACTACCACATTAACATTTCTGCCTAGTGGCAGCCAAAACACCAGGTTTCACCATTATAATGTCAACACTACACACATATCAAGCTTCCTTACACATTTCAGCAGCTTTGCTTTAATGGCAGCCTCTGAGACACAGTTGCCTGCAAACCATCTGGACAGCTGCAGCAGAAAGGGGAGTTCATTTGCACAGGTGTGTGACCTCCTTTCCTCACAGTTCCTGTCACAATCCTCTGGTGCCAGATCAAAACTAACTCTACACAAAGCCCTTTACTTGGAGCTGTTTCAGGAGTCATCACTGGGCAAGCAGCAGAGCCCACAAACGTTTTTTTTTTTTTGGGGGGGGTGTTTCTAAAAAGAAGCTGTTAAACAGATGCAACAAAGTTCATAGTTTGCACTGGAAAACAAAAATCCTGCTCCAGGTCTCAGCTCCCCATAGTTGAGGCTTTTGTGTTCAGACCCCTAATTCAGTGCCTCCCCAGATTCTGAAGAATTTTCTCCTTCAGCCCTGAAGAAATGAGTGTAAAAAAATCCATGATCCACTGAAGTTAGAAAAGAACAAGTAATAATAAAATAAATAACTGAATACTCTCATTTCCACACATCTCTGGAGGACCTACACCTGTACTTGTGAGCTCAGAAGAGAGGAGCGCCCAGGATTCGCCTGCTGCTTGGGACTGCTGTGCAACAGGAGCAACCACAAGGCACATTGTCTGGCACCAAAACACTCTCTAGAAGGAAGATCCGAGAGATATCTGGCTAACTCGGGGGGACAAGACAGAAATCTGGCTCCGGGAGAGCCCAGACTTCCCGGCGGCGGATGGAACAGACTGAAGGAGTGAGTAATTCAGCTCTTACCTTTACCAGCTGCTTTATCTGCACACCTGAAAAAAAACACAAAACCAAGTATAAGAACCAGATTCTGTGGCACAGGGGCAGAAAACAAGGAACTGCACGACAAGGAGATGAGCCCCAACTCCCCAGATTCCCAGTGCCAAGCCCTCGGATCGCTGCTTTCACCCCCTCATGACACGGCGTATTATTCCAGCCGCAGGGAGCTGAGGGGAACTCCAGGAACACCCAGCACCAAAGGGTTAGGGTTATCAGCCCTGCCCACCATAGTTACGCCCGAATCAGGGGGATTTCGCGCTTGGGACAGGGCAGAGGGGCTGCACTCCCAAAGGCTTCACGCGTGCACGTGGCCGGGATCCCGCTCCGCACCGAAAGTGTAAGGGCTGCAACGTCCCCCCAGAAACGCTGATCCCACGGGGACCCCTCCCCGAGACGGACGAGGCCAAACAGCGCTGGCTTCGCGGGGCACCGGGACGGCGGCGCGGTCAGCGACTCCCGCGACGCAGCCCTTCCTGGGAAGGGACCGACGGCGCCGGAACAAAGGGCCGGCGGTGCGGGGCGTCCCGCGCCCGGAGGCGGCCCCGGGGCCCGGGCGCGATGGCGCCAGACCCCCCGCAGAGGCCCCACGCCCGGCCCCGGTCGCGATCCCGGAGAAGTGCGGGCCCAGCGGCGCCGCAGGAACTCACCCGGCCCGGGGACCCTTCCTGGCCGCGGACGGCGTCTCGGCGGCGGGCTGCTCGGCGGCAGGCCGCGCCCCGGGGCTGCTCCGCCGGCGCCGGGGGTACTCGGCCTTACGGCGGCGGGAAGCGGCGGCGGCGGCGGCAGCGGCGGCTCCCCCTGCGGCCGAGGCGGCGGCAGTGCGTCCGCGCTCCCGGCCGCCCCTCAGCACCCGGCTGCCGCCGGACTCCTCCCCCTGCTCGGCAGGCGGCTGGCGGCGGCGGCCCGAGGCAGGCGGCCTGTCAGCTGCGGGCAGTGGCGCCGGGGCGGGCGGCGGTGGCTCGGCGGCGGCGCCCCCCGGCTGCTCGGTGCCCGCCGGCATCGGGGCGGCGGCAGCGGGGCCGGGGCGACCGCGCTCCTCCCTCAGCGGGACAGGCCCGCCCCCGCCGCCCGCGCCCAATCAGCGCCCGCCGCCCGCCTTCACGCGCGGCTCCGGCGCCCCGCCCGCGCTTGCGCCCGCCAATCGCCGGGCGGAACGCGCGGGGCGGCCCCGCCCCCTCTCCGCGCGAGACCCACCTGCCCCCGCGCCCGCCGCGCTCCCGCCTTCCCCCGCCGCTCGCGCGCCGCCCCGGCCAATGGGCGGCCCGGCTGCGGCGGAGCCCCGCCCCCTACGGAGGGGCCGCGCGGCCAACCAGCACGAGGCTTCAGCGCGCGCGCCCCAGCCGTCCCCCGCCTCCCGCGCAGGCGCCGCCGCGGCCGCCGCGCTCGCGCTCCCGCTCCCCCCCCGGGCCGGCCCCGCTCAGCGCCCACTCGAGCGCGACCCCCGCCGCCCCGGCTCGGCTCAGCCCCCGGCCGCCGCCCGGCCCCCGGCACCGCCGGGCTCCCTACCGCCGCCGCTGCCTGCGCCCCTCCGCCTGCCCCGGGGGGCCCCCTTTCGCCCCGCGGGCGAGGCCCGGCAGGGGGAAAGCTGTTCGCCGCCCCGGCCCCGCGCGGCCGCTCCGTGCGGCGGAGCTGCGGCGCCGCCCGCGGTGCCGGCGGGGCCTGGCGGCGGGGCCGCTTTTTGGCTGCCGCTTCTCCTTTAAGAAAAAAAAAAAAAACCGCCCCGTCGGGCGGCGGGTGAAAGTCGGTGACAAAATGGCGGCCGGCGCAGAGGGGCGGGGCCCGGGCCGCGCGGCCCGCCCGCTTCCGCCCCGGCGCGGCGCACGCGCGGGGCCTGCCGGGAGCTGTAGTTCCGCGCTCGGCAGGGGAGGCAGCCCCTCCCGGGCTGGTTCCGCATTTCGGTCCGCGGTCTGTGCCCGGTGGCGGGAGCGTGGTCAGTAGCCTCAGTGTCCGGGTGTGCCTTGGGACCTGGAGCGATCCATCGCGTGTGCCCATGGTCCCCCGGGCCGGGAACCGGCGTGGGATTGGGGAGGGGTTGTGCCGTGGTTCCTCGGGAGGGGCTGGCTTGGCCCACCTTACCCACATTTTGCACATCAGACTTAAATTCTGGGACAGGAGAACAAAGAGTGACGCTTCCCACTCCCAGGATATCCAGCTTTCCCCCCAGTCCTTGAAAATATTGGCTAAGTTGGCTAGATTTCTCTTCGTTCCACTACACGGGTCACCAGTGCTCCCCATCTCTGATCCCAATCCCTGCTGCCACAGCGCTGCCGTGGCCCCCGCACGCCGTCCTGGACAGGAGCGTGGCAGATATCCCACCCCATTCCACCTGTGCCAGAGCAAATGGAGGCAGCAAAAAGCACCGGGGTTCAAGGAGCCCGAGGCTTTTAGCTGTTAAATCCTGTTTGCTGAACTGGTTCCCCACCAGTGAAGAGGGCTTCGGCCACCCAGCCCTTCCTTCTGCTCCTGGGTTTCGAGGCCTGAACTGTGTTTTCTATTCCTAGAAGACAGAAGTGTGTCCAACTCTCCCTTCCTCTAATCTAATCTAATGTTCCTCTAATAAACCACCTCACCGCTGGAGAACCTGTTCCTCTGAGCAAGACACTGAGCCTAGAGAAGGGGGGGAAACCCATGAAAGTTAAAGCAAAGCTCAGAGTACTTGCACAGGGATTTCTCCTGTCTGTGCCAGACCCAGACAAGAGGCTCAGCATAAACCTTCCCCACAGCCGCTGACCTGGGCCAGGTCTTGCTTTCTGTCAGCCCAGTACCAACCTGTTCTTGTCATTGTCACCAGTCATTTCCCCTCTGCAGGCAAGGCTGGCGTTGCTTAATTCTGCAAGGGGGCAGAGCTCCGGCCAGGGAGCAGCTCGGCCTTTTGCCTCCGAGGGGCTTACAAGGGGAAGTTTTATAATGGGGAGTTACAGCGCCGGCTCCTCCTGTGCCCTCGGGCTCACAGATCCACACTGGGGAGAGTAAATCACTGAGAAGGCTAAAAATAGCCCCAAACCTTCCGCACACAGGAAGGTTCTGGTGTTTGCAGGGAGGGAAGTGCCTGACTCAAGGCTGGGCGACACCAGCAGTGCCTCGGCTTGTCTCTGGGTGGCTCTCAGGATTCCTGTCCTCAAACACGTCCCAGCGCATGTCCCGCGGGGCTCTCCCGAGGTGCTGCCGGCCGGATGGAGCAGGGAACAAAAGCGTGGTCACTGACACCGCTGTGGTAATTCAGTGAAGCTCTCCGTAGTAGCTCGAGGGGCTGGAGCCCAGGCCAGCTGAGGGGGCAGGCGGGCTCAGCAGAGCCTGAGAGCGGGACCACGGTGGTGTCAGCCAGGCCCGTGGGAGCACTTGTGCCTCAGCGGTGCCGGATGCTGCGGTTTCCCACTCACATGGGGGTCTGGCCCCACCGAGAGGACGCGTTTGGCCACATAGCCTCTGCTCCCAAGGTGCTTCTGGCACCCTTGAACCCCCGGGGAGCTGGACTAAGGAGGAGCCAGGCCAGGGCACGGTGAAGCTTTGCCAGTAATCAAGGGGCTGGAGGTGTTATCCATCACCTACGAGGTGATGCCTCTTCCAAACACCCAAATTAGAGCCCGAAGGACACACCAAGCCACGTGCACATCCCCTGCACCCACCTCTGGCATTAACCCCCCCCAGCCACGCTGCAGGGACAGGGGAACTGAGAGGGGACGACAGAACAACCGCCCAGGTAATGAACCAGTCCCTTGGAGCAGTTCCCACATCCACTGGCCACTCTGCCAAAAGGAGATTTTGCTCTTACCCGGAAATCCAAGATGAGGCTCCAGAAGCATCCCCCAAAAGACACTGCTCCGTCACACCATCACAAGTTCATTCCCACTCGGCACAGGGATGCCATCCCTCGGCACAAGTGGCCAGTGGCCTCTGGAAAAGGCCTGGCTCTGCAGGAGCATCCCAGTTTATACCCAGAGCTCCTCAGACAACTTGCTGGCAGTTTCTTTCCTCAGCAGCCCCAGCCTGGGGTTGTTTGTGGCTCCCCGTGCCCCAGCTCTGCCCCATCCCACGTGGTGTGAGGCGCAAAGCCCACAAAGGGAAACCCTGAGCGACGCGGGGGGCGGAGGAGACACCGACACCGGAACCAAGCTCCAGAGCAGCCCTGAGCGCCAGCTCCGCTCCCTGCGGGTGCTGCCCCAGGCCCTGCCACCCCATGCCAGGGCAGGATGGAGGATTTGGGTAAGCTGGGATGCTCCAGAGCCGGCCCTGAAGCCAGGCTTGGTGTGGGGTCATGCCTTCAGCGCCTGGGGAGAGCCTTGTCCTTGCTGTCCCTCAGGACCGGTGGGAATGTTCTAAGGGGGCAGCAATGGGGGCAGCAATGGGGCCATGCTCCTTGCAGTGCCTCCCCCATGCCAGGGGACTGAGGGGGTGGTTGAGCAAGAACTTGGCTAAAAATGGAGTGCGCTTGAGAGCAGGAAATGGGCTGTGGCAGCGCTGCAATCCCGGGACTGCAGCACAGCCTCTGGGGGTGCTGGGAGCCAGCCCTGGCCTGGGGAAGTACCTGTGCCACGAGGAGGGCATTCCTTGTTTCCTGATGTGAGGGATGGCCAAGGTGGTGAGATAGAGTTGGGGAGAACAAGCTCTGGGCCCTTTCTGTGGGAAGCAATGCTCTGGGTGCATGGAACCCACTGAGGTTGAGCCCTCCCCTGTCAGGGCTCGTGCTGAGTGAAGGGCTGGCGGATGTTCCTTGGCAGGCCAAGGACAGTGTGCAGGGGCAGGACCTTTGCCAGTGGTGCCCACGCTCCAGGAAGGCTGTAGGAAGGGGCGGGCGCATCCTGCACCAGGGATGGGATCTGAGTGCCCTCGGGACCCTGGCATCTGCCTGGCAGAACCCACTGGGACACTCCTTTTGCTCCTGGGACTTTGGGAGTGGTACAAGACCTCCTAAGGGGGTGGCAGCAGGGTGGGCAGCCAATGACTGTGGTGCCTGAGCGAGGTCTCTCTGTGCAGATGCTTTGCTGGCAGAACTGGAGCAGAGCTCCCTCCAGGCCTCCAAGGACCCTGCGTGCCAGGGACCGAGCTCCTGCCAGGATCCACCTGCCCCCCATGGCTCTGAGCCTGCTGCCTTGGCAGCCCCAAAGGTACAGACCCTCAGCACAGACCCCCTCAGCGCGTGATGGAGCTGCCAGGGGAGCTTGGCTGCATGGCTTTGTCCTCCCAGGTGCAGCTGCTGCCTCGGGCTCAGTCTCTGGGAGAGGATTTGGAGAGAGTGTACAGGTAAAAATGGCCATGGGAGGGCAAAGCCACCTGGGGGTGCCCACTTATCGCTGGGATGTGCCATCTGGGGTCACCTCAATGCCCAAAAAAAGGTCCTTCTGTGAGCTGGGGCAGGTTGTATCCTGCATCCCTGCTGGGGTGAGGGCTGGGCTAAATGTTCCCTGAGGTGGTCTCTGGGAAAGGGTGGGGCTGGAGGCGTCTCAGTCCTGGAAGAAGTGGAAACCTCAGCACCACCCCCCCTGTGCCATGTCCAGCAGCCCCAACTCGGTCCCACAGCCCCCACCCACGGCGGCTGCCCAGCAGCTGGACGAGCTCCTGGCTGACCTGGGCCACATGCAGAGCAAGGTGAGCTTGGCCCTGGGGAAAGGGGGTTGGGACCTGACCTTCTCTTAGCCCTCACTGCCCTCCTCCCTGGCAGCTGTTGGGGCAGGGAGCTGGGGTGCCCACCGAGCCCTCCCTGGACAACATGCTGGGCAGCCTCACCCGGGACCTGCAGGAGCTGGGCATCACGGCCACCCCCGCGGGGGTCTGTGCCGGCTGCCGCAAGCCCATCGCTGGCAAGGTGAGCCCCCTGCCACCACCCTGGCACCCCCTCTGCCCTCAGCGTCCCCCCGGGGCCGCCCTCAGCCTTCCCCTGCCTCCTCACAGGTGCTCACAGCCCTGGGCAAAACCTGGCACCCCGAGCACTTCACCTGTGCCCGCTGCGGGCAGGGGCTGGACAGCCAGCCCTTCTTCGAGCAGGGCGGGCGGGCATTCTGCGAGGAGGACTATCACCAGGCCTTCTCCCCCCGCTGCGCCTACTGCGCCGGCTCCATCCGTGAGGTAAAGCCCCCCCTGTGCTCCCACACCACCCCCCACCACCACCAGCTGCCTCACCTCACCTGTCCCCACAGAAAGTCCTCACGGCCTTGGACCAGACGTGGCATCCTGAGCATTTCTTCTGTGCCCACTGTGGGAAGGTCTTCGGGGACGAGGGTATGTCCCAGGGGACAGGCATGGGAGGCCTGCCCCACCCCAGGCAGCCCTTGCACCTATTGCCCCATCTGACATCCTTCCATGGTCCTTCCCTTGCCTCCTACCCTGGGCAGGCCCACGTCCATGCCCTGCTTCCCCCGCCATGGGTGCCCATCCGGATCCCCTCTCCACAGGGTTCCTGGAGCGGAATGGGAAGCCTTACTGCCACCAGGACTTCCTGGCCATGTTCACCCCCAAATGCCAGGGCTGTGAGCGCCCAGTCACGGACAATTACCTGTCGGCACTGCAGGGTGTGTGGCACCCTGAGTGCTTCGTGTGCACGGTGAGTGGGCGGTGAGGTGGCGGGGCCGTGCCTGTTCCTGGGGCCGTGCCCGTTCCTGGGGCTGTGCCCGTTCCTGGGGCCGTGCCAGCCTTTCCCGGTCTCCTTCCCCCAGGAATGCCTGAGCAGCTTCGCCGGCGGCTCCTTCTTTGAGCTGGAGGGCCGGCCCTACTGTGAGCTGCACTTCCACCAGCGGCAGGGCACCATCTGTCACGGCTGCAGCCGCCCTGTCACCGGCCGCTGCATCACAGCTGCGGGGCGCAAGTACCATCCCGAGCACTTCGTCTGCACCTACTGCCTGGGCCGGCTGCAGAAGGGCACCTTCCGCGAGTGTGGAGACAAGATGTACTGCCAGGCCTGCCACGACAAGCTCTTCCTCTGACCCCCCCAGCCTGGGTGTCCCCAGCATGGTCCCCGAGCATCAGCATCCCTGGCGTTGTCCCAACGTGCCTCATATTGTCCCGCCCAGCCAACCGTCCCCAGCCTGGCTGGTGTCAGGCATCCCAGGCAGCATTCCTTACCTGCATCCCAACAAGACATTCCTAGCACTGCCCCTGCCAAGCCACACATCCTGGGCATTGCCCCCTGCACCTGCAGCAATAAAACACCCGGTTCTGCCTTTGCTCCGCTCACTGGTGGCTTTGGGGACAAAGGTGCAAGGCAAGGTGGGAGGGCTAGGAAGTGCCACCCCCAGACAAGAAAGGGTTTGTCACACAAAGTGGCACCTTTGGGAATCCTGGAAAAGGCCCTGGTCCCAACAGCAAAGCCAGAAATACCAAGAGTGCAGCCAAGGGGTGGGGGCAGGCACACAGACACACTTTAAAAACTTTATTTATATAAAAAAATCATTTTGTTTTCAAAGCGTTACAAGAGTGTGCACAGGAATCAGACAAGGAACGGCTTGGTGCTTCCCCCTCCTCCCCTCCTTAGCCCTCCTCCCCAGTGGGGCCGAGGAGGAGAGGAGGGGGATGCTGTCTTTTTGGTTCATTTAGAATTAAAAATTAAAAAAGGAATTAGTGTTTTACATATTTAAAGGAAAAGAGAAGAGTTAGAACCCAGAACAAAACCCAACCGAGCTGAGGTGGGGCTGGAAGCAGGGAGGGCCCAGCTGGTGCTGGGGGCTGATTTGGGGCAGGAACAAGGCACCAGCTCTGCCCCTGCCACCTCCCCACACCCCTCCTGGGGGGAGCCCCAGACTGGGAGGGCTCCTGCTCAGTTTCCAGCCTCCTACAGAGACTTCCAGTTGCACAGGGAGCAGCAGGGCCCCCCAAAAGGTCACAGCATGGCAATGTGCCCCAGCACCACAGCCAAGAGGAGGAGGAGGAGCACATCCCAGCTCCCGTGGCAGCCCAGGCTCCCCAGGCCTGGATGGCAATGCCCTGCACCCTCTCAGCGAGGGCAGGGGGGCTGGGTTCCCCCCAAAAACTGGCTCCCAGCCCCACTGCAGACAGGGAAGGCTCCCAGTGGGAAAGGGAAGAGTTCAGCCCTGCTGGAAGCCCAGGAAACTCCCCTTTCCCAGGGAAGCAGCCGGACAGTACAATTCAAACAGCTATTTCACAGTGGCAAAAGAAAGGCACGTGTCAAGAGAAAGTCGGGGGGGCAGTGCCGTGGGGGTCCTGGCTCCAGCCGCCCAGCACAGCGCGCCCCGAGCCCTCTCCCCAAAATCCTACCGCATCTCCTCCCTCCGCAGGGACCCCATGTCTCCCCCTGGGAGGCCTGTCCCTCACCCCAGCACTGACCCTCTTCCCCACATCAGGATCCTCCTTACACAGGCACCAGGTGGGAGCCAGGGCCCCCCATCCAGACCCCTCCGCAGGACCCAGAGCCACATCCCCCTTCCCACGCCCCCGAAGCCTCATCTAGAGCAAAGCAAGAAAAGTTATTGCTGGTTGTCCTTCCTCCTGCCCTCCCCCCACAGCTCCAGCCCCTGGGCCCTGGTCCTGCAGCCCCCGGGGAGGAGGGATGTCTGTGTTGTCCCTGGTTGAAGAGTGATCCTGCACAAAAAAATACATCCTACAGGCAACACAACCAAACCAGAACCACGGCGGTGGCAAGTGAGGTCCCAGTCCCTGTCCCTGCAGATGCCCTGCAGAGGGGGAAGGCATGGGAGAGAAGGCAGCTCCTGGTCAAGGCAGAGATCCGAGTCCTTGTGCAGCATCCATGCCGGCTGATCCCGCAGAGTCAGGCAGGAAGGTTTTGCCCCTCGGGAGGAAGGGGGTGGTGGTGGAGGATGGGAGGAGGAGCTCTCAGCCGTGGTGTCCTGGAATGGGGAGGTGCAGAGGCCCAGAGGAGGTTGAGCGGTCCCAGGCTGCCCCAGGGAGCCGGCCCAGGCGTTTGGCTGGATGGTTGGCACAAGGAGTCCAGCAAAAATTCCAACAATAAGACAAGGTAAAAGTCGGTCCATTCCACCATGAAGAGTTATATATTTATATATATAATATATTATCAACCCAAATGGAGCGGAGGTGGGCAGGCCAGCTAGATCTTCTGCTGTGGAGAGAGAGGGAGAGGCATTAGCAGAGCTGGGGCGGGAGCGAGCGGCAGAGGCGGCACCACAGTAGCAGAGATTGATCGGAGCAGGATTTGGCTGGCCAAGCACCCCTAACAGCACAGCAGGATCTGTCACCACTGTCAGATTGGGCAGGACACTGTGGGACATACCGACACAGGGGGAAGCACAGCAGCATCTTCCTCTGCCTCCTCTACCTCAGGCTGCGGCTCCTGCCCCTCCTCCTCCTGCTGCAGACACACGGGGGTTAGTAGGGGCGAGGGGGCGGGGGGTGTTAATCGTGGGAGCCCAGTTCTCCCCTCCTCCTGCCAGCCAGGACACTGATATGGCATTTCCTGCACCCTTCCCTCCTCAGGGGCAGCTGCTCACCATCAACGGTGCTGCCTTCACCGGCTCCATCTCCCCGAGGTCACCAGATCGCTCCAGTGTCCTGCTGTGGTCCCTCTCGTTGAGTGTGGAATAGTTGTCTGGAGCAGGAGAGGGGACAGTCAGCTGTGTCACCTCCAGGGAGGGTTGCCCCATCCTCGCAGGAGACGTGAGCTCTGCCCCCCTCCCTGCATACTGAGGGGGTGAGAGGCCCCCATTCCAGTCCCTCTCCTACCTGGTCCCATGTTGCTCATCTGGATCTCCTCCCGGGAGGATTTCTTATCTACAAGCACAGGAGAGCAGGTCAGGGACAGTCCCTGAGCCGTGGAGGAACTGCCACCTGCAGCTGGGGGGGCCCAGGCCCAGATGCAGCCATAGCTCTGTGACCCAAGGATCCCTGTGACAGGACCTACCAGTGACAGCCCCAAGAAGCCACCTACAGCCCAAACCAAGGGCCCTGATGGCCAGGAAAGCCAGCTAAGGCCCAAACTGATGGTGATGGCCCTGTGTCAGCAGCTGTGGCTGCCAGGGAAGCCTGGGCTAAAGAGCAGGGAGGGGACAAAGGCCAGCTGCCCTGGGTACCCACAGGGTGGAGGGACGATGGTGGGCACGCACCTGTTTTTTGGTTCCTGTCAATGAGAGGCAAGGTGCTGTCATCAAATGAGTTGCCTCCCTGGGTCCGAGAGGCATTGCTCAGATTCACCTGTAGGAACAGAGAGTGAGAAGTCACACCCTGGGCCCAGATGTTCCTTCCCCACTGGCACATCCCACCCCTCCAGTGCCAGGACAGACCCAGGAGCCCTCCCACAACCCTTGAGCAAGGGGCTCAAGCACCCACCACATCCCCATTAGAGCAAGGGGACCCTGCCTGGACTGGGGCAGTGCCCAGTGCTCCAGAAAAATGGATAGTCCCTGCTTTTGGGAAAGAAACTGAGCCCAGGAGAACTCCGTTCTTCAGCACTGCCACAGCAGCATTTAGGATGACAAAATTCCTGCCTGTGGAGCCACACACTGGTGTGGGACACAGGGTGTGACACTTCAGGGTGTCCTTAGCAGAGGCTTCCTGCTGGTCATCGGCTGAGGAACAGGGACATTCCCCTGAGGCACAGGGGACACCTCTGCAGGTGCCCAGTCCCACCAGCAAAGGCCAAGGGCTGCAAACTTGTCCTGCTGAGCTCCAGGAACCCCCTTCTCCTTGCTGCAGGACCCCACCTACTACCCCAGCCACCACAGGGCATCCTCACACCTGGAAATCTGACTTCTTCCAGCCTTCCTTCTCGAGGGGCTTCCGCAGCTCCTTGTAGCCCCAGACTGTCTGCAAGACGAGGGCGGCTGCTCGGACTTCTCTCTCTGAGCGGTTCCTAGGAAGAGGGGAAGGAAGAGACGTTTGGAAACAGTTACAGCCTGGGGGGAGGCTGCTGGACAAGCCCCTCTCCACCCCTTGGCATTACACCCTTTGAGCAGAGCCTACCCAGACTTGTTGATCAGCACCAGCTTCTCAATCCCCTGCGTTTCCCGCAGCTTCTTGGCGGCCTCGAGGTTGTCCACGATCACTTCATTGATGGTGTTGAGGATGGACACCACTGTGTCCTCAGACAGGTTTTTGGCAGGGGTCTGCTGGCCTCCAGGCAGGTTCTTCACTAGGTTGGGGATGGCGTGCTTGCCTGGGAAGGGGAAAGAGCTGGGCATGAGCAAGAAAGAACAAGACTGCTGGGAAAACCACCACAGAAAGGTGACAGGCGACCCATTCTCTCCCTCTCCGCGGAGCTCAGCCCTCGCTGCGCCATGAGAGGAGCGGCAGGCAGAGGTTGAGCTGATCTGTGCCCTCAGCGCTCCCTCAGCGGGGCAGGACGCCCCCGCCTGGCCCAGGTGGGTGTGCAGAGCATGCTGTCCTCACCGATCAGCTCCTTGTTGCGCAGGTCCACGGCCAGGTTGCGCAGGGCGCCCGATGCCGCCTTCACCACCCGCTCGCTGTCGTGGCTCAGCAGGTCGGCAATGGCAGAGAGCCCCTTCTCCTGGCGCAGCGCCGAGCGGATGTACCGGCCGTACTGTGGGGCAGGGACAGCACCCCTGTGTCACGTGGGGCTGGGGGCCACCCCGCCAGCCCTGCCACCCCCCCTCGCTGTGGGCACGGGGGGCCTTGCTGCACTCACAGAGCCCACTCCCACCCCAAGGGTCCCCCACAGGGCCAGCCAGATTTCCCAGAGGGGCTCTGCATACACACCAAGGTAATGCAGGTTGTTACCTTCATTCCCTGCCCTCAGGAGGGGAGGGACAACAAAGAGCCACAGGCAGTGAGCACAGAGCCCTCCACAGCACAGGGGGACCCTGTGCACACCCGAACTGTGCTGTGGGATGGTGGCTCCTGGGGCCACGCAGGGAGGGAACAGCCCTGAATAGCATCCAGAGTCCCACTGCCCCCACCACGGGTGGTACTCCCGGCTCCCCTTTCCTGAGCACAGCCAGCCCCAGGGGCACTCACCGTCCAGCTGCCAGCACATAGGTTCTGGATGGCTCCTGCCGA